ATATATATATATTTATAAATTTGCCCCCTTCTCTTACAGTTTACAAAATGAAGAATGGCCTCTTCCAGTTTTAGATGTCTGAGGCCTTTTATAGTAAACTTAATGGCTAACATGAGTTTCAACTTGGATGATGAAAATAAATCAGAGAAGGGAAAAAATGGAGGGCCTGCTTAATGAAGAGTAAAAAGATGGAGATTTTTCTACTTAGGGAAATAGAAGATATAATAGAATGAAAATGCTTATAGACAGAATGGACTAAGCAAAATAGTTTTGGGGGGAGAAGGACCTGGGAGGCGAGACACACCAAATCCTTGACTAGTAGGAAAAGATGTGCTATAAATAACGTAAATGCACTCAAAGGCTAGCCAGCCTATATTATAAGCACTGACTATATACAAGGCACATTACATGTATGATGTTCCCAATCCCTGCATGTGGGGCAGACACTACTACTGCCCCTTCGTATTCAGATGAGGCTGGGAAAGAGCAATCAAAGACATAAAGCTAGTGAGCAATCTGAGTCCAGAATCTGTGTTCTGCTCTGATGTTGAACAAACTTTGGCAGCACACAGTTACAGATGACTACTGTGAATATCTGGACTACATGTAAAGACTAGCTTGATGTTAAACAGCCTAAATAGTCTCCTACTTAAAAAAAAAAAGACATCAGGGGCCAACACTGACCATGGTAAATAGATCAAATAGGCCATTAGCCTTTCACAGTAAAATGATTTCCATTTTGCTGTCAAAACTTAGGAACTCTAAAATGACATTTCAGTAAGTATTTCACAGTTATTAAAAATAAAGGGAACATGACTTGGAAAGTGGTAGAACCTTAATGTCTTAATGACTCCTAATTAGATAATGGATCTCGAAGTAGCTACCTCTTTAATCCAATGGCGGTACTCATTAACACCAAACGTTTTTTTCATCCAAAGTCCATAAATATAGCCTGAAATCCCCTTCAGCACCCACTCATCAGACCTAAACAAAAAGATAAAATATTAACGTCTTTTAATCAAAAAATTCTTTAGATAAAGTCAAACAAGATAATGGGGATATGTTCGCTGGCTTTCCTAAAGCACAATGCCGTTATTGACAAATGATTTGCTTCCCCCACTACCTCTGGCCAAGCTGACCAGCTCTACTTTCTTCTTCCCATCTGCTTTCCCTTTCCTAACTTTCAAGTTCTATTTTGTGTATAACTTACCCATGTGTGTGCTCTGCTTCGGCAGTGCTGCTTCCCTCTTGTTCACACTCTCTGCCTCTAAGGAAGTACTTGCTCACACCCAAGATTACTGCTCAATTTGAAAAACCCACTTCTACTACTGCTGACCCTATGTATGATTCCTAAAGTTTATTCACTTCATCTATTTTCAGTTTCTCAAGAAGACCGGTAATTAATACTGTTCAAACATCTATTCATTTAATGAAATGTTTGCCTACTATGTTCCAGTTATTACTATGAAACCATGCATAATTTTAGAATAATTACTAATTAGTGGCTTACTCTCACCTTTCTCTAATCTAGCAAAAGAAACCAAGATTTACATACTATATATAGCACAAAAAGTCCACAGCTACAATGTATAATTGTACGGGAGCTTCATGTATTTCTTCAAATTCATCTAAGTTCATCAAAAAGAACATTCAAAAATGGTTTTACTTTTCATTTTTTTCCAGTAAACTGGTAAAAAGCTAAGCATGGCAGGAATATCCTCCATTATTACAGCCTTGTAGAGGGTTTGCAGGGAGCAGTTGGGAGTTTTGAATCGATGACCTTGTGGCTAGCAGTCTGTTGCTTATCCTATTGCACCATACCAGGACTCTGTCACTACCATGTTGCTGTTATTGTTAAGTGCCATGGAGTCAGTTCTGACTCATAGCAACCCTGTACATAGGATATCCTTTCTGAAGAACAGCTGGTAGATTTAAACCACCGACCTTGTGACTAGCAGTTCAGTGCATATCCACTACTGTTCTTGCTGTTAAGTGCCATCGAGTCAGTTCTAACTCACAGTGACCACTACTATAGAAGACTATTACTTTGCCTTGAATATTACCAACTGTTGTGAATGCATAAGCATTCTCAGTGTAGCTTTCCAGTTCAATTTCATATATCTATAATATTCCTTTAGTTCTTTAGGATATTATTGCTATTAAAATGTTTATTTCCTTTTTTTTTTTTTTTTTAAACTGCCTTTCCCGTAATCCAAATTAACACGTCTACTTCCATCTTCCTATAATTGCAGCTTGTACTGATTTCCTAAACAAAACATTGGAATGAAATTTATATCACCTTTCTTTAAATAAATACAAAATCGTGTCTTTTAAATGAACTATTTGCTTGGGTAGTAGGGGTACCAGTTAGACTGCTAACCACAAGGTCAGTAGCTCAAATATACCAGCCAGGACTTCCGGTTTTGGAGGCTGGACAAGCAGAGCCAAGTAGGACGGGCTCTGTGGGGGAGATGCCAAAAATCCAAAGAAGGGCTTTTACGGAGCTGCTCCAGAGCTCTGGATCTAGTATAAGGTGCAGGACGTCAGTTTCCTGCACCCACCAGTGGAGAAAAATCACAGCATAAAGGAAAATACTGCGATTCCAGAATCAATTAGGACTCGGGACTCTGCCTGCGGAGCACTCCCGCCCAGGCTACATTCAGAGGGCAGGGCCACAGCCAGACCGACACAGTAAAACCCACACAGTGACATTTGAAAAAAGAGGAACGGGGGATTCCATACATTTTATCCTCCTCTTCCCTGTCGTGCCCTCTCTGCCCAGCCTGGCCACCTTCAGATGGGTGGGCGTGCACCCCCAAAGGGGTCCAGCATTGAGCTCATAGTTTTCCCACGGCACAGACAGGAGGATCCCCATTGGTCCCATGGACTGACCCTTTGACACCTGCTTACGACATCTGACTCTGGGACCCAGCTCTAAAGTTGACCGGGGCGGGGCGCTTTACTCCTGCCACTGGGCAGACAGCTACGGTTTATTTTTGTTTTGGAGTGGTGGTTTTTGTCTCTGCTTTTGTATCGCTTCTGTTTTTGACCCTTTTGATCCTTTTTTCCTGGGGGAGGGAGCTTTTTCTCCATATATTACCCAAGAAGAGACAGCAACTGTGGCCATATAACCAAGCTACAAACATACCCCATAATATCTCACCAATGCCAGCTGCTAGACACTCAGCAAGCCAAACAACACAGCAACATACGTTCATTTAAGCATTAAAAACCCATATAACTACTGGAAATGACCAAGAAACCACAACAAAAGATCTCAAAACATGTCCAAAAACAGAAAAAAGTAACTGAGATAAATGAGCTGGAGGCAGACACAGTATTTCCAGTAGATGAAGAGCAAGTTTTGGACTTGCCTGAGAAAGAAATCAGAAGAATGAAATGGAAACAAATTCAAATGCTCCAAAAAAGGGGTGGAGGAAAATAAGGAAGAAGCCAGGAAAGCGTTACAGGAGCAATCAAACAAGAGAGATACAGCATTAGAAACAATTCAAAACCTGCAAAAAGAGGTCCAGATAATTAATAATAAAATATCAGAAATAGACAATACACTGAAAGGGCAAAAGAGTAGACTTGAAGAGATGGAAGCCAGAACCAGCGAGCTGGAAGAAGAATCTCTCAAATCTACCAGCCATTCTGTGAGAGAAAAATGAGGCTTTCTGCTCCTGCAAAAGATTTATAGCCTTGGAAACCCATACAGGGCATTATGAGTTGAAACTGACTCTATGGTACATGCCCACCATCACCGTTAATATTAAGGCAATGGTCAGCTGATATTGCAATAAAAGAAAATGAAAACAAACTTTCCAGAATTTTTTTCTTAGTTTCTATAAACTTTGAAATTACTCACCAAGACATTCTGGATATGAAACAACCAAAAAACTGCTGAGCCAAGGACTGTGCTAAACACCTTCTAGTCAAAGGGGTCTCGTCTATAATTAGGGCACTGTGCAAAAGATTTGTACTGGAATATAAAAGAAGGGAAAGGCAGTTATAACCAAGACATAAACAACTGCTCATTTAACATAATTATGCTCTTAAAAATAATGCAACCTAAGTTAGCTATAAAAGAAAGAAACTAGGCTATTCCTCCAAAGAGTAATCTCATCTTTTCAAAATTTAGCTGAAATCAGTTATATATATATATATATAAATTATATAATAGGAAAGCATCCATGTAAAAACTTAAATGATTTTTCATAAATACATAAACAGAAAAAAAAGAAACATTCTGAATAATAATATCAGTTAATTCTGAGTGAAGAAAAGAGTCATTTGGGGTTATTTAAGAAAAATCTTTTAAAATGATTTTATACATTTAATGTTAAAAAAGAATCTTTTAACAATTATTTTATAAAGCCCATCAAACCTAAATTTTAAAAAACAAGTTCAAAGTGCAACTTGAAACTGATCACAAAATAAATACTGACTCTACGTCATCACCATAACACAGTCATTGCACATGTAAAGGCAGCCCAACCTAAAAATGCTCATGGAAGCATAAGCAGCTACTTCAACGTAAGCTTCATCAATGAACACAGTCTTAAAGCAGGAGTATGGGTATCGACATGTAAGAATCTCCTCATAAAACTCAAAGACCTCATGGAGATAGGACGTGGTATGCTTCAGCAATGGAAGAAGTTGGGGCAAACAAAAATGAGTAACCTGAAAAATAAAAAGGAGGGAAAATGATCATCTAAAATGAAGAGTTAATGTTAGTATTTTAAAGTTAATACCTCAATTAAAAATGTTCATTTTTTTAAAAAACAACTTTCATGATTTAAAAAAAAATTATGTTGTAAAATTAGTGATTATTTTTACTGACCATGTTAACAAAATATTCATTGTACTTAAAAAAATTATGGACTATAAGCCTATAAAATGCCTAGATCTACTGTAAATACAACTTTAGTTTAAGATTTAAATTTTTTCTACATATACATAACAAAAAACATTTAATAGTTTTTATTCAAAAATATCTAACTTATTACTGAGTATGCACATACCATACTACTACCTTAATAATTGTTAAATTATCTTCACTGAATATAAAGAACATTTACTATAGTTCTCCTCTAATAATTACATCCCAGAAGCTGTGGGGAAGCTGATCAATAAAAAATGTCTAGAATAGACCTGGTAATTCTGGTTTTCCTACCAGGCTACATCTCACCTGGTTAAGGGTTGGCTTACTAACCGAAAGGTCTGAACTGAGCAGCCACTCCCTGGGAGAAAGATGAGGCAGTCTACTTCTATCAAGATTTATACCCTTGGAAACCCTACAGGGCCCTACACAGTCACTATGAGTCAAAATAGACTTAAACGGGGTGGGTCCAGTTTTTGATCTGGTCTCACAATACGCTTCTGTGTCAAATAAATAGCACTGACCATGACAGAGTTCCCTCTAATGACAATGACCCAGCCAGGTTTCCCTCAGGACACTGACTCTAACAACAATGACCCAGCCAGGTTTCCCTCAGGACACTGACTCTAACAACAAAGACCCTGCCAGGTTTCCCTCAGGACACTGACTCTGAGCTACACCTTTTGGGTTGGACAAGACAGACAGGTTAAGAAGAGAAACGAGGACATTCAAGTCAAGTCAAAGGCAGGAGAAAGTAAGGTATGACCAGAAAAATTAAGTACATGATTCTGAGTTGGGAAAAGACTAGAAAGGAAAATTAGGATGAAATTCTAGAACTTGAGTAACAATCAAAATGATCCTTCTGGAGCGTTATGAAATGAAGAGGAACGAGGCCACTGTAGTGGTGGGGGGTGTATGTCTGTGACTTAGTAATGGTCAGGGTCCAAAGAGCATCATGGTTAATACGCCTCTTCGTACACAAACAAAACATAAAATGCTGTTCATCCAAAAGAGGACTCACATTTAGAGAAAACGGTACACCTGTCAACCTATGGCTAACCTTGTCACAATGACTGCCTGAGATGGTCAGAGGGTAGGTCACGGGCCATGCTCTGCTGTTATTTACCTTGCTTCCATCCAACAGCTCAAGAGAGGGAAAAACTCTTACACAAAACAAAGTAGGTCTAAAACCCATATCCACTGCCACCAAGTCACTTCTGACTCCCAGCATCCCCGGAGAACAGAGAACTGCTCCGCAGGTTCCAAGGCGGTAATCTCTACAGGATCAGACTGCTACAGCTTTTCCTCATGGAGCGTGCAGCTAGCAGCTGAGTACTTCAACCAGTGTGCCAATAGGGTTCCTTAGCACAAAGTACATACTAATTAACAAATAGTGTGGTTTTCAAAAGATTCATTTATCAAAAGTGTTGTCAGTGACTATACTTTAAGAGAGTCCGTTTTAGGAAAGCCAAAAATAAACCATTCACAAAACTTCATGGATCCTTTTCATGAATGATTTTATCAATCTTGTGAATTTCAGGAAAGGGGAGACAGAGAAATTTACAGATAGTCTTTTCATACCTGGTTCTCCTCAGCTTTTTGTTCACAGAACTACAAGAAATGTTACTGAGATACATATGGTCACAACAGAATTTTTTCAATAAAAATGATTAAGTTGAAAATATACAAGTGCAACAAACAATAAGTACACAACCATTCAAATGTTATTTTATATATGTATAGAAGCTAAGAGTCAACAACCAATAAATCACTTTTTAACCAAAAAGCTGATACCTGGAAAAGTCTTAAAGTACTATTTGTCCTAAAAACTGACATGTGACTTGTGACAAGCTATGGAACGTGAGAAAACTGTAAAATGCTAAGTTAACCCTGAAGGAAACCTTCATGATTATGCTGATCAGAATCCAAGCCCTTCCTTAAGCTTTTCTTTTTTCCTCTCTATATGAAGGCGTGAGATTCAATTTCACTCATTCATCCTGAAATTGTGGCATTTTAAATTCCATAGATGGGAACTGAACATTCCTAAACAGATACCAAACAAGATGGCAATAATAAAGACAGAATGAGTAATCAAGACAGGCTTGACAATTTTTGTTAACGCCAAGCCCTCTGTTAAAAAAGGTCTGAAAATTTTTATTATGACAACATTTGAATTCAGAATTCACATCATTATATATACCAGCTAAAGAAATTTTTTCTAATGGTATTCTTCATAGTTAAATGAACAGTTAGGTAAGACTAAGAGGCTCATCAATATTTTCCCTTTCATTGGGAGTGGAAGAATGGGATGAGGGTGAGGGGGAAGAAGACACGACTTACTTCATGCATATATGGATCTACAAGTATTTCAAAAGGTCCAATGGCCAAGGAGATATTTGAGGCCGCTGTTGGAATGGTCAGCATATAGTGGAAGGTCTTCTTCCTCATATCATGGGTATACACAGTCTCCACCAGATCCCCACTGGAAACAGCCACCATTGCAGCGTCTACTGTAAATTCCAGCTTCCACGTACATAATTCAGAGTATGAATCAACACACGGAAACCAAAATCTACAGAAAAATTGACAGTAAAGGAAACACACTGCATCACCATTAAGTGGCTCTAATCTTCCTAAAAAATACAAAAGAAACTTCTACAATTTGACTACCAAAGCATTTCACTACGAAACTGGAATCGGATTTGTAAAAATCAATTTCCAAATGTTAATTAGCAATATTAAGAAAACAGATACATGACACTTCCAGTTCAAACTCGAAACTTTCAATTTAAAATAATTTCAAGTTGCACCTTCACATAAATTAATTTATATTGTGTTCGTCTACAGAAATGAAAGCAGTTTATAATCAAGCTTTATCAAACATAATATTCCTTTCAAGCATATTAATACACTTATAGAAATTCAGAGTGCTGGCAAAGCCAGATATAATATTTCTACTCAATTCTCTTTTAATTCAGGTTAGAGCTTACCTGAAGTTTTATTTTGTATGTGCCAGAGTTTGTATTTAGTAATGAAATACAAAGAAATACAAGATATCATCCCTGCCTTAGAGGTGTTAAGAGTCTGAAGAAAGCACACAATTTATAAAATATTTCAAAAACACATGGAAGACTAAGAGGCGAGACTAGATTAAAAAAAAGTGTAAACTCTTCTTTTAAGAAGAATAGCTGAGAGATGAAAGGTTAAGAATCAGCGAAAAGGAGTCGGGATGTGTGAGAAATGCCTCCAGGAAAACTGTCTTCTTTGCCATGAGACCAGAAGAACTGGATGGTGCCCAGAGACCATTATGAAACATCTTGACTAAAGATTCGATAGAAGAAGCTTGATCAAAAGGAAAATAGAAAATTTCAAATTCTCATAGATTCTTAAACACCTTCCTGTGCGTGAACCACTGAAACTACTGCCTTGAGATAACATTCAGACCTCTGGCTTTAAGAAGACTTCCAGCATTATTTTTGATTGCAGATGAGACGGCTGCATGACACAGAGAATGGAATGAAGGTCACTGACTTAAATGTAGCAAGTTTTGAACTGGTGTGTTTTGCTGTGCATATTCTTAACAAAAAATTAAAGGAAAAAAATGCCATGAACTATAGACCTATGTGCAATTTTCTGCATGTTTTACTTCAATATAGTTTTTGAAAATCAAATGAGATGATTACCTTAGAACAGACGACGTAGAAATCAACACTGGGTAAGGGGAAAGAGGACAGAGGAAACCGGAAAATACGGGAAAGTACAAATAACTAGTGAACTTGGTTCAGAAGAGGAGGCAGAGGTTTGCATGATTACACTAGAATTTCTCAATTGACACACAATGTAAGTACACTTCTCTAGAACAAATGCAATGGAAACATGAAACTCACTGAAACATGTAAGACTTGATAACCTACCTTGTGGAATTTTGATACCCACAAGAGAAAACATGAGCACCTCTCTCAGCCATGCTGCCCTCTACATTGGGCACCACAAAATGAAGACCTCCTTTTGGCTGATCCAAAGAGAAATTGATGTGTATTTTCAGGACCTTTAACTCTGTAGCAAGCACATACACATAAACATTGACACATAAATACATGATAAATACAAATAACCCACCCACTGCCACTGAGTCAATGCTACCTTATAGGGACAATAAAGAGGCTTTCCTTCCGAGACTACAAATCTTCACAGGAGCAGATAGCCTTGTTTTTCTAAGTTAAGTAACAGTGGTTGCTAAGAAGCTCTGGTACCGTAGTGGTTACAAAGCAGGCTGCTACCCTCAAGGTCAAGGAACTCTGGTAGCGTAGTGATTACGAATCGGGCTGAGAACCTTAAGGTCAGCGGTTCGAAACTATCAGCTGCTCCGCGGGAGAAAGATCAGGCTTTCTACTCCCGTAAAGATTTACACCCTCGGAAACCCTGTACAGGGTCGCTATGGGTCGAAACCGACTTAACGGCACGTAACAACAACAACAACAACAACCCTCAAGGTCGGCAGTTCGAAACTACCAGCTGTTCCACAGGACAAAGATGAGGCTTTCTGCTCCCATAAAGATTTGCAGCCTCGGAAACCCTGTACAGGGTCACTATGAGTCGGAACCTACTCCACGGTACTTAACAACAACAACAACAGTAGTCACTACATGTTTACCAAGAGCAAACACTTACACTGAACATGAAATGGGACTCCAGAGCCGTTTGACATGAAAAGCCCATGATCTATACCTTACTAGGCTTTCACCATTCGCACCACCTGCATCTGCTTTTCTCATACAACTTGAGGTGATTTTACTGTCACATCAATACTGGCTTGGTACTTTACCATCAACATGTTTCCACAGCTCTGAGGGAACTTTAATGCAGAGTTCTCCATTTCCCGCATCGGGATCTACAGCAGTAACTGCAGCCGCATAGGCGTTAGAAAAATAATTTAGATTTCTCCTGGAAATAAAAAAATGGCCAAGTTTTAGTTAAGGTACGACATCTATTTCACCAAAGCAAGCATTTTCTTAAATATTCCTTGACACTATTTGTTAATAAGCATTACAGGTTATGAACATCCAATAATGGACAACTCCTACTTGTCTTTTAATGTTAAGTAAATTTGCCCTCATTCTGAAATGACTGAACCCATTCCTCCCCTGGCAATAAATCCATTACAATCATTTTCATTTACTACAAGTACAGCTTTGAAAATCAATGAAAAGGCTCTGCACCTTTTCTTACATTAAAGTAAGGATGCATATGAAACGTATATTTCATTGTATAGAAGTCTCACTGTGCTAAAAGACAGTTGGTTTTAATCAATTCAACAAAGCCTAACAACATAAATTACTGCTGTTGTTAGGTGCCAACAAATCGGTGCCAACTCATAGCAACCCTATGTACAACAGAACGAAACACTGTCCGGTCCTCAGCCAACCTCACTATTGTTGCCATGCTTGAGTCCACTGAGGCTGCCACTTTGCCAATCTCACTAGTGGTCTTCCTCTTTTTCTCTGACCCTCCACCTTACCAAACATGCTATCCTTCTTCAGCGACTGGTCCCTCCTGACAAAATGTCCAAAGTATGAGGGATGAAGTTTGGCTATCTTGGCCTCCAAGGAGCACTCTGGTTGCACTTCTTCCAACACAGATCTGTTGGTTCTTTTGGCAGCCCATCGTACTTTCAATATTCTCCTCCAACACCATAACTCAAAAGCATCAATTCTTCTATGGTCTTCCTTATTCACTGCCCAGCTTTTGCATGCATATGAGATTATTGAAAATACCATGGTGTGGGTCAGGCGCACCTTAGTCCTCAACCTGACATTTTAGCTCTTGAACACTTGGTCTTGTGCAGCAGATTTGCCTAATGCAATACATCGTTTGATTTCTTGACTGCTGTTTCCATGAGTGTTGATGGTTGATCCAAGAAGAATGAAGTACTGGACAACTTCAATCTTTTCTCCATTGATAAGACTATTGTTTAGTGGTGACGATTTTGGTTTTTTTTATATTGAGATGCAATGCATACCAAAGGCTGTAGTCTTTGATCTTCATCAGTAAGTATTTTAAATCCTCTTCACTTTCAGCAAGCAAGGTTTTATCATCTGCATATTGCAGGCTGTTAATGAGTCTCCCTCTAATGTCAATGTCATGTTTTCCTTCATATAACTCAGCTTTTTGGATTATTTGCTCACCCGTCACACACCTTTCCTAAATGTAAACCTTTCAGTGTTCCCATGTTCTATTCGAACAACTGCCTCTCGGTCCATGTACAAATTCCTCATGAGCACAATTAAGTGTTCCGGAATACTCATACGTCACAATATTGTCCACAACTTGTCATGATCCACACAATCGAAAGCCTTTGCATAGTCAATAAAGCACAGGTAAACATCTTTCTGGTATTCTCTGCTTTCAGCCAAGATCCATCAGACATCAACAATGATATCCCTTGATCCGTGTCCTCTTCTGAATCTGTCTTTAACCTCTACAAGTTCTTTGTCAATGTTGCTTGCACTCGTTTCTGTATTTTACCTTGAGTATAAGTTTACTCGCATGGGAGATCAAAGAGATTGTCCGATGAGTTCCACGGCCTGTTGGGCGATAGGAATGCAAAGGTTGGAAAAAAAGAGGAAGGATCAGTAGCTGGAAAATATGGCCTTGGTGATAGAAATGATGCTGGAGATTACATGATAGAATTCTGCAAAACCAATGTTTTATTCATCCTAAGAAATGACTACACACATGGACCTTGCCAGATGGACTACACAGAAATCAGATTGACTATATCTGTGGAAAGATACGGTGGAAAAGCTCCATATCATCAGCCAAAACAAAGCAGGGACAGACTGTGGAACAGACCATGAATTGCTCATATGCAAATTCAGACTGAAGCCGAAGAAAATGCACACACACAAAAAAAATCCATGAGAGCCAAAATACAACCTTGAATATATCCCACCTGAATTTAGAGATCATCTGAAGAACAGATTTCATACCTTAAACAAATACTAATGACCAAAGACCAGAAGAGTTGTGAGATGACATCAAGAACATCATACAGGAAGAAAGCAAATCATTAAGACAAGAAAGAAGCAAAAGATCAAAATGGACGTCAGAAGAGACTCTGAAACTTGCTCTCCAGCGTACAGATGCTAAAGCACGTTGAAGAAATGAGGAGGTACAGAGCTGAAAAGAAAATTTCAAAGGTCAGCTTGAGAAGACAAAGTCAAATATTATAACAAAATGTGCAAAGATCTGGAGTTAGGAAACCAAAAGGGCAGAACACGCTCAGCATTTCTCAGGCTGAGAGAACTGAGGAAAAAATTCAAGCTTAAGCTTTCATTACTGAAGGATTCTCTGGGAAAATTACTGAACGATGCAGGAAACATCAAAAGAAGATGGAAGTAAAGTTGATGTTCTCCCATGTAAACTATTACTCAATTCACAATAAAATCTTTTAAAACAAAAAAGATACAACAAATACATAGAGTCACTGTACCAAAAGGAATTGGCTAATGTTCAACCATTTCAAGAGGTAGCATATGATCAAGAGACAATGATACTTAAGGAAAAAGCCCAATGTGCATTGAAGGAATTGGCAAAGAACAGGCACCAGGAACTGATGGGATATAAAATTAAAAATTTTCAACAAAATGAGGTGGCACTGGAGGCACTCACTCATCTATGCTAAGAAATTTGGAAGACAACTATCTAGCCAACTGATTGGAAGAGATCCGTATTCGTGCCCAGTGCAAAGAGAGGTAACCCAGCGGAATGCGGCAATCATGGGAAATGACTGTAGACAAAGGAAAAACACTGGTTCTGCTGCAATGCAAGTGTGGATTAACTCAGGTAGGAAGAATTGTATCAATTTCTAGGACTGCCAAATATAAGAAATAGTGTTTTTATGCAAATCATCCACACACTTGCATTTGTTTCCTATGCTCATTCTATGCATGTGTGTTATTTACATGGGAACAGTATACACAAAAATGAGGCAATGCGAAAACCAGAGCATAAGTTTCACGTTAGGAAGGGTATTGATATGCTATAATCTGGAGAAGGGTGGTGGCTCCATACAACAAGCACTGGACTGCCAACCACAAGGTTCATGGTTCGAGCCCGCCAGCTGCTCCACAGGAGAAACATGAGGCTTTTTGCTCCCACTGAGCTCTGGTAGCATAGTGGTTACAAATTGGGCTGCGAACCTCAGGGTCTGCAGTTCAAAACTACCAGCTGTTCCGCGGGACAAAGATGAGGCTGTCTGCTCTAGTAATGTTTTACAGCCTTGGAAACCCTGTACAGGGTCACTATGAGTTGGAACCGACTCCATGGCACATAACAACAACAACAAGATTTAAAAACTTTGGAAACCCTAAACAGGGTCACTTTGAGTCAGAAATGACTCCAAGGCGCTTAACAATAATAAACAATCTGAAGAAGAGAAAACTGGGGGAAACAGTATCTACTTGTTGAGAATAAACTGGTGAGCACTATACCAAGACAGGAGTCCTGGTGTGGCACTGTAGGCTAATGCACCAGACTGCAAAGTCGTTTGAACTGCAAGGTTAGTGGTTCAAGCTCACCAGCCGCTCCTTGGAAACCCTATACAGAGTCGCTATGGGTCAGAATTGACTCAATGGCACTTAACAACAACAAACCAAGACAGCTCGTTAATAATGTTCTAGCATTTAGAACTAGCAAAAGATGTACATTAAAATATACTGAGCTCTCCAGAGTTGAAAGAATTCATGCACAATGTGGGATATTATGGGAAAAAATCTGTTTTATACAAAATAAACGTTAATGTTCCTCCAACTCTGCTGCTGCCGGTTACCTAGGGGTCGATTCCAACTCATGATGGAAACTCCAAGTTTGCAAAGTCCCAAGCAGCGGCAATACTAAGACACCAGCAGTGAGACAGTATGAGGACGTTCAACTAGAAAAGTTGAACCACAGGCGCGCTGATAGTCCTGTGGGATAAATGCTGGCCTGCTAACCACAAGATCAGCAATTCAAATCCTCCAGCCACTCCACCGAAGAAACATGAGACTGTCTTCTCCCAAAAAATTTCGTCTCAGTAACTCTATACAGGGTCACTCTTAGTAGGGGTCAGCTCAAAGGCAGTGGGTTTAGTTTGGGTTTTATTACGTGATAGCAATAAACTAACAAAATTTAAAAGCCGTTGTGTCAAAGTCTGCATTACAATTTGCTGTTGTTGTTAAACTGCTGTCAAGTCGGTTCTGACTCACAGGGAATCTGTATAAAGTTTCCAAAGAGCAGTTGGTCGGTCTGAACTGCCAAACCTGTGATTGGAAATCCAGTAGTAATCCTACAGTCCCACAACAGGAATCTGCATTAAAACACAGGACCTAGAAAAATCTTTGAAACAAATACCTGTTGTTGTTTTTTTTTCTTTTTAAACTACAAATTGTAGAATGTCATCAAGGATGTACATGAAGAAACCAAATGGTTATTAAAAAGATAATGAAGAAAAGACCAAATGGATGCCAGAAGAAACTCTGTTGTTGTCAGTTACCCAGGGGCCAATTTCAACTCATGGAGACTCCCAGTTTGCAAAGTCCCAAGCAGCAATATTCAAACACCTGCCAGTGAGACAGGATGAGTAAGTTAACTAGAAAAGCACCTGTTAAGTTGCTGTTAAACATAGACTAGTTAAAATAAATGGAAGAAATGATGATGTAAAAGAACTGCAAAAATTTCAAAAGACACCTCAAGAAAACATGTATTTTAATACGACATGCAAAGACCTGGAGTCAAAAAACAAAAGGGGAAGAACACACAGCATTTATCAAGCTAAAAGAATTGAAGAAAACATTTAAGATGAGTTTTTGAATTATCTTCAGCAAAATTTTGCCTGTGTATGATATTAATGATACTGTTGGATGACTTTCACATTCTGATGGATCACCTTGCTTTGCAATGGGCACAAACATGGATCTCCTCCAATTGGTTGGCCAAGTAGAGGTCTTCAAATTACTTAGCATAGACAAATGCGAACCTTGCACGTCGCATCCTTTGTTGAAACCTCTCAAGTGACATTCCGTCAATTCCCAGACCCTTGTTTTTCTCCAATGCCTTCAGTGTAGGTTGGACGTCTTCCTTCAATAACACAGGTTCTTGCTGATACACTTGCTACCTCTTGAAATGATTAAATGTCAGCAAATTGTTCTTGGTACAATGACTGCATGTTATTTCCATCTTTTGAATTCGTTAATATTGCAACTCAAGTCACTATGAGTCAGAACCAACTCAATGGCACCTAGAGACATCAACAGCCTCAAAACACAAGCAATCAGAGAAATGATATAATTCAATACCGTCAAAGCTTTGCAATAATAAGTGTCTTCAAATGTAGTTGATGATATTTACATTAGTACAAAACTTAGTGGGGCACTATTAAGTAAAGTATTAAGAATGATTAAGAATGGTAAATAATTCTACAAAGGGGCAAAAAAGTTCGTGGAAAATTTTCATTTTATTTTAATATCATGGATATTACATGACTATAAAAAAGGGTAAAAGCAAAGCCTACATGCATGCAAAATTAAAACACATAAGTGCAAAAAGTAGAACTGATCAGAACCATGTATACTTAATGATAAAATTGGTGCAATACTTATTTAAAGTGAAGATAGATGAGACTTATTTTTATAGGCATTTTAAAGCAGTCTCTAATCTACAGATTAGGATGGCCATATAACAAATTGAAAATTACTTCTAATGTTTATGAAATAAATATTTTTTAAAGTAAAGAAATGGCTAAGAAAATGTATTAAAAATTCTCAGATAGCGCTTTTTAAAAACTGTACTTTGAAAAAGGCAAATGTACTGATCTATCATATTGGAAACGGCTAGTAAAATCTCTTCAACAGAAGAGATTCAACAATTAGGAGAAAGAAAAAGCATGGAGTCCAGGACTCTAATAATACGAAGAGAAATCTTTTGAGAAAAATCAATCCAATCGTATGAGAAAAGCCTGTGAGGTCTATATGCTTTCTAACTGTGGAACTTACTGTTTGGATTCATTGTGACAAACTTCTAGTGTTGGATCATTATAAATAAAGGCAGCCTCCAAATCGTTGACTCTCACTCGGTATATTCTGCACTGTTTACTGTTCAACTTGATTCTATTCAAGTTTGCAACTGTGGGAAATATAGTCAGCTCCACAAATCCCTGGAAAGACAAGAGAAAAGCACCTTTATTATATTTAAGACTAGTATAGTTTAGAAAATATTTGATTTTGACTTTGTTGAACTCCAAAAACAGAATCCCAAGCAGATACACAGAATTGTTCTCCAACGATGTTTAGCTGTCCTGGGGACTAACTGGGAGTGAACTATGTATACTTTATCACCCTGGGTTCACATTCATAATCCATGAAAATGAAGTCATCTGCTATTAAATAGGTAAAAGAACTTACTCTTCTTCATTATAAGAATTTCTAGACAGACTAGCACCCAAACAGGGAAGAAGGACAAAATGGCATAAAGAGACTCAAAATGCGGAGGCTGGTTAGTAAAAAACCACCACACACACATACAAATGGGGGAGAAGAGAAAACGACACCACTAAAGCTAACTATGATGAGTGTCCGCCAAGGGAAGTAAATCATGACACATGAATGTCAAGGGATATGAGAGATACTCAAGCTAGTAAGAAAAATCTATTACTGCCTCCAGGAGCAGCGAATACTTCAAAGTGGTAGATGATTCCACATAAGCTAGCCCATAGGATGAGTTCTGGCACGGCACTGTAGGATAAGCACTCAACTATAAAGTTAGTTTGAATCTCAAGGTCTGCGATTCAAACTCAGCAGCTGCTCCTTGGAAACCCTATCAGGGTCGCTATGAGTTAGAACCAATTCAACAGCACTTACTAACGAGATCACAGGGGCCACATAGAGTTCTTACAACTTAGCTGGGTGGTATGCCATCTACCTGAACATCTAAGACAAGAGACAGTCAAGTGCCCCAATTGCACAAAACCCTCTTGTGTTGAATCAAATGGCAAAGACAGATTGATGAAACACAGACTATATGTCCAGTGATTTTATAATATCCTGAGTTGAAAACGGGTGTACTCAAAAGAAACTATGGGAGAACACGAAATAGCAATTACTTCAGAGGCTGTCACAGAAATATCCAAGATGAAATTTAGGTAGTACTGGATTATAACAATTATAATAGCTACTATTTTATGAGCACTTCAACCTGCAACATGCAGATGATACAACCAACCTTGCTTGCTGAAAGTGAAGAGGACTTAAAATATTTACTGATGAAGATCAAAGACCACAGCCTTCGGTATGGATTGCATCTCAATGTAAAGAAAACAAAAATCCTCACCACTGGACCAATAAACAATATTCTTATCAATGGAGAAAAGATTAAAGAGGTCTTTTGCCACTTTCACCTAATGCAATACGTCATTTTGACTGCTGCTTCTATGAGTGTTGATGGGTGAGCCAAGAAGAATGAAGTCCATGACAACTTCAAAGTGTTCAAGAGTTAAAATGTCAGTTTGAGGACTAATACCCAAGCCATGGTATTTTCAATAACGTCATATGCATGCAAAAGCTGGATAGTGAATAAGAAAAACTGTAGAAAAATTGATGCATTTGAATTATGGTGTTGGAGGAGGATACTGAAAATGCCATGGGCTGCCGAAAGAACCAAAAGATCTGTGCTGGAAAAAGTGCAGCCAGAGTGCTCCTTGGATGATTAGAGATAAGATCAAAGTATTTAGTATAATATTTGGCATATAATGTTGGTAAGTGTAGTTGTGTCCGTTCCAACCCATAGTGACATATTGTCAAGAGGGACCAGTCTCTGGAGAAGGATATCATGTTTGGTAAGGTGTAGGATCAGAAAAAAAAGAGAAAGACCCCCAGCGAGATGGACTGGCAAAGTGGCAGCATCAATGGGCTCAAGCGTAGCAACAATTGTGAAGTTGGCCCAGGACCGGGCAGTGTTTCGTTCTGTTGTGCACTGGGTCGCTATGAGTCAGTACCGACTTGATGGCACCTAACAACAACAACTATATGCCAAGGAGTCCTGGTGTGGCACTGTGGGTTAATGCACTGGACTGCAAAGTTGCTTTGAATCACAAGGTCGTTATTCAAGCTCACCAGCTGCCCCTCAGAAACCCTATACAGGGTCACTATGGGTCGGAACCGACTCAACTACATGCACACCAACACTATATACCAAATATTATACTAAATACTTTGATCTTATCTCTATAATCATCACAATTCTAAGAGACGTGTACTACTTCGCATTTTTTAAGTTAACAATCAAGTTAAGTCAACAATCAAGCCAAGATTATATTTGTTGTTGTTAAGTGCTGTTGAGTCAGCTGCAACTCATAGGGACCCTGTATAGTGTTTCCGAGGAGCAGCTGGTGGATTTGAACTGCTGACCTTGCAGTTCCAACCAATTTTGTGATCCAGTGCATTACCCTGCAGCACCACATCAGGGCTCCTAAGATTATATTGGTGGTGGTGGTGTTATGTGCCGTGGAGTCGGTTCCAACTCATAGCAACCCTTACAGGGTTTCTGAGGCTGTAAATCTTTAAAGGAGCAGAAATCCTCATCTTTCTCCTGCGGAACAGCTGGTAGTTTCGAACTGCTGACCATGAGATTAGCAACCTGATTTGTAACCACTATGCTACCAGAGATTATATTAGTAAATGAAAATTGGGATTCAAACCCATATCTAAATGACCCTAATGTTCATGCTTTTCCCACTATGCCACAATGTACAAGGCTTTTCAATAACTTGCATGATGTTTCTGGATAAAAGTCAGTCCAACTGCTCCAAAGTTCAGGGATTCCACTCTCTTCACCCCAACTCTCAAATAAAAGGGGAGCCTTCTTCTATACCCAGTCCAGACACTTCACTATATCCTCTCTTCTGTCAATATTCTTGACTTTCTGATACATGTACCTATCTTTTACTCCTATTTAAGAATGATTCTTCCACTGGTCCTCTGGTGTGAATGAAAGTAATCATACACTATAATGGCTGTTGATAGTTGATAAGTGCTGTCAAGTCGGTTCTGACTCACAGAGACCCTGTATAGGGTTGTGGTTCAAAGTGACCTTGCGGTCCAGTGCTTATCTTACCATGCCACATCAGGACTCCTAGAAGAGGTTAAATATTAGCAATTGATACATCTATGAGGGGGCTTCAGAAAATTGAGGAAAAAAATCCATTATTTTTCAATACCATTTCTCCACTTGTTGAAACCCCTCAGAAACAAAGGCGGAAGAGCGACTCAATTCAAACATCTTATCCAAAACTTTACTAAATAATGTCAGTTAGACCAAATTAGCCAAGAACTAGAAAACAAAATTGGCCTCTTGTTGTTAAGTGCCATGGAGTTGGTTCCAACTCATAGCAACTCTGTACAGGATTTCCAAGGAGCTGTGAGTGAGTTTGAACTACTGACCTTGCAGTCCAGCACATTAACCCACAGTGCCACGATAGGACTCTTAAAAACAGATTCGGAGTAAAAAATATTTTAAAGAGAAACTGAAGGAAAATTAAGTAGGTAGTTCAGTCTAGCAGAAAGGCAGTATATCTGGGAGTCAGACAAACCTCTATTCTAACTCTTCATTCTCCTTGAAAGACAGTAACCTGGAAAAAAACACTTTCTAAGTACTTTAGACAACTTTAGGCATGTTTCTACTTACAACCGTTGAGAATATACTTACCACAACAGACTTTCTCTGGAAGTTTATGTTGTTGATGCAAACCACTTGATGGGTTGTATATATATATCAGAAACATAAAGAAAAAAAGTCTATTATCAAGTGAAAGCATAATTCTATCCAAGTATGAAAAACGCCAAAATCACATTTAAATATTCCACATTAAAACCCCACAAACTGGGATAACTTGCTTGTTTTAAATCTAGCCACTACAATGTAAATCGATTTCTTTTGACCGAAATACAGTTTGGTGTTGTAAAAAGGTGGTTAATGAAACTGCAAACCCAGGAGAGCTGCTAAATAAAACTGTCACCGAAAACACTTCCACCCTACAAACCACCTCCACTAAGAACCCCTTAAGTCAATTTCAAGCAATGACAGATTCGAATTCAGGAAAACAAAACCAAAGAGTAAAGGGTAGAAGGACGAAACCGATTTAAAAAAATACTTATAATTTATATGGTCTTGGGCTTTCAAAGCCCTTGTCGCCCTTCTTCCTGTTCATCCGGGCGGGCTCTAAACCAGTCGGAGGCATGAAGCAGCCCCACCAAGCTGAGCTTCCGCGCTTCCCGGGGGGCGACCGGGCATTCCCGGGCTCGGAGACCTCGCCCCGCGGCCGACGCTCGCTTAGCGGCCAGCCCCACCGGGCCCCTTCCCTGCAGTCGAGGGTTCTGAGCAGTCTCCGCCGAAGCTGTACACCAAGATGCTCCTCTTATTAACTGCTCAGAGCAGCACAGCCCATGTTTCGTCCGCCACCTCTGACCTCAACGTCGCCGGAAGTGGTGGCGCATAAGGGGAGGGGCCCGGAAGTTTGTGTCGTGGGCGGGGCTTACGGGGTTTGTTGTTAAATGCTGTTGATTCGGTTCGACCCATACCGACTTTGTATAGGGTTTTCAGGAGACTAGTGAGCTTGAATTGCCGACCTTGCGGTTGAAACCGACTTTGCAGTCCAGCGCAGTAACCCATAGCGCCACACCGGCACTTAATCTCATGGGATTTGGGGAGGATTTTTTTGTTGGACTTGCAATACACACGAATGGTTAAGTGCCGGTTGGGCTCCTAGGGACCCAGTGCAGCTTTGTAGGAGCGACTGGTGGATTTGAACCTCCAGCCTTCTAGTGCTTATCTGTCACCAGGATGCGTCACATGAAGGGTGGGAGGAGATGATTTGTTCCAAGTTTAGGAAAATGGAGGCTAGTGTGTGAAGCAGCCAGGAAAGGAGGAAACATTATACCTAGAAGAATTAAGGCCGAGAGAAACTACACTAAGGATTTCGGAGATAGAGCTTGCCAGTAATGATGAGGGTAGAGGGGACTCTCTCAAAGCCAGGAGTGATGTACCTCAGGCTCAGTCAACACTCCATACCACCCCTAAGCCAGTGATTTCAAGTGTAAAATAGGCCATTAGAGTCCCAAACCAAACCCACTGAGTAACAACTGTCCTATAGGGTTTCCAGGGTTGTAAACCATAAGGAGGAGTCCTGGTGTGGCACTGAGTTAATGTGCTGGACTGCAGTCAGTGGTTCAAGCTCACCAGCTGTGCCTCAGAAGCCCTATACAGGGTCACTATGGGTTGGAACCGACTCGAAGGCACTTAACAACAACAACAACAATGGGTTGGAACTGACTTGGGCGGCACTTAACAATGCTGAATTAAGCTGAGTGTCTCATCTTCTCCAACAGGGCTGCCTGGTGAGTTCCAACTCCAGACCTTTTGGCAACAGAGCACTTTAACCATTGCAGCAACAGGGCTTCAGATTTAGAGTACACCCAGTCCACTCAATGAATTATTAAAACTCCAGAATCTTCACTGTTAAGTGCCATGCAGTCAGTCCCGACTCACAGTGACCCTGTATAGTGTTTCCAAGCAGCGACTGGTGAGTTTGAATCACCAACCTTGCAGCCCAGTGTTTATCCTATAGCACAATCCTCATTGGGCATTCGGTATTTTTTAAAATTTAAGTGCACAATCCCAGTGTGGAGCTGTAGAATAATGCACTGAACCCCAAGGTCGGTTTGAACCAAAAGGTCAGCTGCTCCTCAGAAATCATAGTGGTGACCCTGCAACAAAGGCCCTCACAACATTAAGCACATAATCCACATAAATGGGCGGTAACCACATTTACTGAAAAACAGGATAAACATTTTGAGGCCATTGTTTGTATTTCATGTACAAAATTTCAGTAACAGTTAAATCTTGGTTAATTGTGGATTGTTGCTTTTGTTAAATGCTTTGAGTGGGTTCCGACCCATAGCAACCCTGTATAGGGTTTCCAAGGAGTAGCTGGTGAGCTTGAACCACCAACCTTGCAGTTCAAACCAACTTTGCAGTCCCACGAATTAACCCACAGTGCCACACCAGGACTCCAATTATGGATTACCCATTAACATTTTTAAAACCTTGAACCAGATTTAACCCTGGCCTACACTCCTCAG